GATGTGTGTGTGTGTGTGTGTGTGTGTGTGTGTGTGTGTGTGTGTGTGTGTGTGTGTGTGTGTGTGTGTGTGTGTGTGTGTGTGTGTGTGACTGTAGTTTTTGTCAGTGGCAGACTCACGGTTCATGTTGATGTTTTGGCTCAGCTCGATGAGCTCCATCTCGGTGGGCATGTAACCCATGGTCCTCATCAGGTTGCCCAGGTCCTTACAGCTGATCAGGCCGTCCTTGTCCTTGTCAAACTCATTGAACGCATCACGCAGCTCTGCACAAACGCACAGCAAAATCCCTCTGTCGGGCACACGGCCACTGAACCAGAAACACGATGCTGGAAACGTGAAGTATTTTGATACGGCTTACCGTCTATCTCGTCGTCCGCCAGATCCCTTGACTGCAGTGGAGGAAGAAAAATGGCAAAATGTGAACATTGAAATATAGGAATAAGGGATGGGCTCCTTGACAAAGATAGCAGAGGATAACACATTGCATATTTAAAACAACCACATTGCTTTGCACGTAGAAAGCTAACGCACAATGTAAAACACCTTATATCACCCTTGAAGCACCGATATTTGAATACAAACCGTGGAGCAACACATGTAGACAGCACTACACATGATTCCTTTTTCTTTTGAATCAAGTTTAAGCCGCTGTCCCGCAAGCATAGTTTGAACCTTCAATTAAGTGATACTTTGGACAATAATCCAATACATTGACACATTTTACATCAAAACTGCAACAAGCAAATTGAGTCGTACTCACGATATTTTTCCCGCCTCGCAAGAAAATGCACGCCTCTCCCAAGCTCATGTCTGTCAAAGAAAACAATCGTGGCGCTTGTCAGTCGAGATACAAACAGATGCCCGATGGGACTCTGTCTCAGGTTTGGGAACCACCAGATTTGTTCTCACCTTCGACTTGTGCTTTCAGCCAATCACATCATATGTAAGCTCGTCTGTTTAAAATCTCTCCCTTTCTCAGGCTCCTCAGACCCGCCGCTGACTCTCGGTACGTCCGCCACTCCGGCTCGATGCTGCGATGATGATGATGATGATGACGATGAGCGGTGGGGAAGCTGCGTCCGATCTTGTTCATGTGCTGGGAGGAGTCAGCAAAGTGAGTGCAGGACAGCAGGGCGGGCTTAAGCGAAACAGATAAAATACTCACACTCTACACCTAAATACAAGTACCGATAACAAATAAATAAATAAAAGGTAAATGTCCAAGTGCTGATCCAACTTTTGTACTGTGAACACACACTTTTTAGGTATGATAAGAACCTTCAAATTGCAACCGCCAGTGGCATGAATCATATAGAACAAATTTTATAATCAACTTAGTTGCCTCTTGTTTGGAAAAATGCAAACACAAAGAATCAGTAGAAGAGATTTTCCTTCCCTGACAGATCAACTTAACCTCCATCACCGTGGATCCACATGTTGGACTTGATTAACTGGCTGAGCTCAGTGTCATTGCCCCTGTGACATCTCCACCTCTGCCTGCTTCCCTCTTATGTAAAAAAAAAAAGAATCGGTTGCATAAACGGCATAATCCGCTAGGATATGCAATGTAGCGCTGATGAATTTTAGCCCCTCGCTCACAGCACACTTGGACAGCTGAGGTCGTTCCAGGTCTCGTGTGCAGTGGTGAAAAAGGATGTCTGCAGTATCAGGAAGATAGCGATGCTTAGAAATTAATTGTGATGTGTTTTTCTGAAATGATGGATTCAGGATGGGCGGTAGACTGCGGCATCTAGAAAAGCACCTCAGCGCGTATTGATATCATTTAAAAAAACACACACACACACACACACACACACACACACACACAGCAAAAATCCCCCAAAAATGTCTGTTTGTTTGTCTGTCTGTCTGTATGACCGTCCGTCCGTCCAGCGAGGGGTTACAAGTAAGTGACTACATGAATGACACATCGCGAGTATGCGGGTTTTTTTAAAATTATTATTATTTATTTTTTATTATATTAATTTTTTTTATTTGCGGGGTCTCGTGTATTGACAGCCATGAGACAACGTCTATATCTTGGCGTAACCTCAGGAGGGCAGTGTTTCTCCTAAAACGACTCAGACCGTTTTGGGCGAAAAAGACCACTTCCGTTTTCCTTTCCTTTCCCACCCGCTCCTCCGCCATCACGGGGTACTGAACAAAAACCAATGTTGAGGAAAATGGGGAGAAGGCGAAGAGCGGAAGAAAGACAGTAAAACTTGTGACAGCGTCCAGCCGAGCATGGAGCGCCGCCGCGGGGATTTATGACACCATCCCACAATGCGGACTCGCCATTCGACTCCGAGCATCGCTCTAATCGCTAAATACCACCGCCGCTAATTAGCGTGCGATTGAGATAGCGGCCGCTCTTCCCGCCGCTAGCTCGGTTAGCTTGACAGACAGACAGCCAGCCAGTCAGCTAGCTAGCTAGCTAGCTCGCGAACTGTCACTGGCGCACTCGACCGGGCACTTTCATTCATGTCGCCTGTAAAATTCTGTCCCATATTCACCGGCATCGTCGGAATGGCCACAAGTTTGAGTAACGGTGTCGACAGGCAGAATGCGGTTTGCTCCCGCTGAGTAGACTGCAGCAGCAGCGCTGGGGGGCGAAAACGGGGAGTGAGACCTATATTTTTCCAGCCAGGCCAGTTAGCTAGCTTTAGCTAGCTACAGTGGATCCCAAAAGCCACGGTAAGACACGCTAAAAATATTTATCATTGTACGTTGTTCAGGGGAGTTTGACGCATTTTGACTTCTTTGCGCCAGTAGAAAAAAAAATCCCTTTATCTGGAAATTGATGACTTTTCTGAAAGTGCCCAAAATATAAAAATAAAATGGAAATATTGATTCAACCGTGCCATAATCAAGGGAAATGGTGTTGCGGTAATGGTGGGAATCTTGAAACTGTCAAAGTGAACATGCCATTAATGTGTGTTGTTTTTATGTCAAAATTGTAACAGTCTTGGAGCTTGAAACCCTTGAACTGTGTGTGAGACCAACCACATTTGCAGAGGTTCTCACAGAAACATCCGCTTGTGCACATAAACATAAAAGGAGAAAAACACACACTGTTGACGACTTGTACATTTCTGTGAGAAGCATGCCAAGAATTGAATAACGACAGTAAAAGTCTGAATGACAATGAAGACATTTATTAGAGTCGAGAAACTTTGACAGCTAGACGTGTGAAAATGTTAAACACCAGCAATTTCAGCACATTAAGAGATTTTAGATAATGTTACGTTATTCTAAATGTCAATTTACAAAGTTGTTGTTGCCCCCCCACCCCCAACAATGTAAAAAAAATGCATTCCTAGTTCAAAAAGAACACTTTACATGTTACTCATGCAATATTTTAAGTGGAACAAAACATGGTGCAATATGTCATTGTGTAACACAATGTGGCCGTTTTAGCTCAATTCCTCCTCCACCTAGCCAATCTTCCTGTTTGAAGTTTGCGTTGTTTGTGTGTGTGTGTTTGTGTGTGTGTGTTGTTGCCCCCCCACCCCCAATAATGTAAAAAAAATGCATTCCTAGTTCAAAAAGAACACTTTACATGTTACTCATGCAATATTTTAAGTGGAACAAAACATGGTGCAATATGTCATTGTGTAACACAATGTGGCCGTTTTAGCTCAATTCCTCCTCCACCTAGCCAATCTTCCTGTTTGAAGTTTGCGTTGTTTGTGTGTGTGTGTTTGTGTGTG